TCTCTGGACCTCACAGAGACGTCTGGTATCAATGCTCCTAATATTCTCAGATCTCTAGTTGCTTCGGCACTACTCCAGTATTCTTGTTGTGCAATCGCTATGCCTTGGGAAGTCGGAAAGCTATTACTTCAGGTCCAATGGATACCTCGAGATGCTGGCGAACCGGAAGAACCGGAACTTGTTGGCGATGATGATGATGATGCGGTATTGCCTTTTAATCTTTCTATCCCTTCTTTTTTTTGACAAGCTTATCTATATCCAGCTGAGTACCTCTTCAGAGGATGACTCTTATTTTGCTGATCCACAAGCTTCGCCTACCCTCCATCCTCCCCCACGACCTACGGATGAACAAGGTTACGTTATACGCAAGTCTATTCTTGAGGAAGGAACTCGACCACAGTACATCATTCCAGTAGGAAGCGCAAATGGTGTCTGGGGTATGATGAAACGAATAGGTAACTTCCGCAGTGAGGGCTACCTAGCTCTTTGGAAAGGTATGCAACGTATTTCCTTCACATCGTTTCTTTTTGACATTGAAGTTGCATTCCATAAGGTCTCCTGACTTCCACCATCACGGAGATGTTGTCTTCAACCATCCAGCCTCTCGTCCATGCGTTTCTACAATCACTCTTCTTCCCTTCGATGACTCCCTTCCATCGACCACCCATTATTCTTCCTGTGGCGTCACATCTTATCACTGGCTTCATATTATCCCCTCTTGATCTCGTTCGCACACGCCTCGTTGTTCAATCATTCACTACTCGACATCGAACCTATGCAGGACCCTTCGATGCTTTGTCTCAAATTTTGCGTGACGAAGGCGGATTGAAAGGCATATATTTCCACCCTCATCTCTTTCTTCCAGCCCTGATTGACAACGCTCTACGTCCCTTCGTCTCCCTTGCCTTCCCACGCATGCTTTCCAGTTATCTTGGGGTTCGCATATCAGAAGATTCTGCTAATCTCTGGCCATGGGCATTCATGGAGTTTTGTGCAAGTTCCCTGGGACTTCTCGTCACTCTTCCATTTGAAACGATTCGCAGACGACTACAAATCCAGGTGCGAGGAACGGCGAAGCCCATCAAGGGTTGCGTAGAGCTGCGGCCAGCGCCATACAATGGAATCGTAGATGCCTTTTGGCATATTCTTACCGAGGAGCGGTCAGATCTTCCTATCAAGCCGA